ACAGGGGTCAATGCCATTTTGTGGCAACAGACCCCTATGAAGGGAACAAATTAAGATCCCAAAAGCTGATAGGAAAAAATTCCCAGGCAACTGAAAGCTGAAATGCAGACTGGAGAGCATGTCCAAGTCAATGCGCTAAAAACAGACCCTTGACATGGGATCATTCAAGGTTACAAGGCAATACAGGATGTGGGGTCCTACCTACCTGGCTTGCACTTTCACTTGTCGTCACTTAAGCATGCCTCTAAATAAAACGCCTACGTTCCTTCTATAGTTAATAGGAAACAAGTATCTTTCAAGACCCTCAAAAGGAGATCCTCCCTGACCAAGTTCAGAATTCTTTACTGGGCAGCCAAGATTTCCCTTAGTGGATCTTCAGAAGTAAACTACCTTTTTTCCATCATTTACACAGGGGAGAATGGTATATCATTTGGGGGACATATCCTTTTGCACCATTTCCTCAGCAGAAACGGTAAAATGTACATTCAGATTTAACTCCACAGGAAAGCAGACCACCCCTAGTTTGTACAAGTCTCACGGTAAAACTTTTAGGTAGGTTTCTAAAGAAACTAGGTATGACTGAATCAACAACCAGCCATTCTTCTCATACAAAACAGGGACATACTATTTTTCCTCCTGCAGTTCAAACCAGACTGAGTGACCAAAGGGTCATTTTTGCCCTATATAAACACAATGTGAAGGTCTTCCATTGAGATTTTAATGTCTCTAACCTGCAGTGTTTCTGTTTTGCTACCTGAGAAATGGGATAACTATTATTTTCTTCATTTCACAGTGTGCTTTGAACTTTGTGGACAAAAGTACTCTTCTCAGCACCACAAATACATGCCTATAAGCTACTTGCAAAATGCCTTTCTTTAGAAGGACATGATACAGCTAGCCATGTGATTAAGTGATTTTTCAGTACAATCCTTTGAGACCTTTGCTCTTGCCTTTCACATTGATATTTATCTTCCAAATTTGTCCTGGTACCCAATGCTGTCAACAGCTCAGCAGAACATTCCCCATATGCAACTAAAGATTATCAAAACCAAACTCAGTCATCTCCCCCCCTCCAAATCCTATTTTAATATTGTAAACATAATCCTGAAGCCTGATTTTGAATTTTTTTCTCTTCCATGCTCTTTCAAACATGACTTTTTCAAAAATCTTGATGAATACATATACTGATAATAACAGAAACAATATAATAACACGGACATGATCAAAGCTTATTGCAAAGTGTTTCCCACGTAATTCTAAATGGTAGTTCTTATGAAACTTGGCAAACTTTTTAATTTCCCAAATAGAACAGGTAAATAATAAAAGGTATGAACAAAATACTGTCACGTTACAATTTTGCCAGGCAATGTGCTTAGGCTTTGCTGTGACTGTGGTTAAATAACACAAAGAGCATTCCATGCAAGGTACTGAGCTAAAACAATTCTTTAAGAGAGACATTAAAGCGAATCTGCTCCTCCACACATCAATGACCTTTTGAGGTCCCTTCTACTCCTGTCTTCTTTAATTCCATGTTTAGTTTATGTATGTCTCTACAAATATATTTTGTTACTAGGCATAGTATGTTTGTAGAGTGCAAAATATCTTTTTAAATATGCTATACAGTAAATTTACATTTCTGTAAAGACATCTTAAAGCTATTTTACAACTAGTAACTATCGGGATTTGTTGGAGCTTAGTGGGACTGATTGCCTGTCTTTATAAAGCCAAGAGACTATTGGTATCTCTGAATACAGGAGGAAGGCTTTGGGCATGGAAGTTTCCATAACTTTTCCATATATTTTTAAACATTTGTTTCATGGAAGAGACATTACACAAAGGGAGATTTTTAGATCTTGCCAAAGTCCCGAAACTATCAATTTTTACACTTTTTTTTCTCCTCCTTTTTTTTTCAGTTGCTTGGACAGGTGTATCCAGTTTTTCCACTAAGTTCCTCATATTGCAGGTATTTTTTTATATGCATATCGGCATGCATGATTACAACAAGGTTTATTCTACCCAATACACAACAAAGGTAAGAAATTAAGATGAATTTGTCCCAAGCATTTGAATTCTATTTTTAGCACTTCAATTCTGCTATAAAAATCAGACATCAATTCCTATCATAATAAAGATTGGAAAAAATTTTCAGTCCAAATTTAATCTATTAAAAATTGACCTACCTATAAAGATTTTCTACAAGAAGCAAGGGAAAAGTGGAAACCCTTTATGTACCTTGATGTGTAAAAGAGAAATGCCTTCAAAGAATACTTAGAGCATGTAAAGGATAATAATTTTTCTTACGCATTTTCGTATTGTTATCTGATGTCACAGTTGCAGTTACCACTGCCAGAATTTGCTTCAGTGAAATAAAAGCTGGAGCCAAGAAGACTTGTAGCCCAACTCTTTAACAGTCAGGGTCTTATTGAAAAAGTAATTTTGCTCTTGGTGAATTATGAGGTCCCAGTTACACAAAATTATAATATATCCAACTTTCACTTTCTGGAAAGAATATATTAATACTCATTAACTTGAAGCTGAAATCAGACATCAGAAAACATTACATAAATTACAGTTAAGTGCATAAATAAAGGATTTGCAAACAAAACAAACTTACAAGCTTCAAAATAAATTTTAAGCTTCATACAGCTGAGCAGATACACTTTCCCTCAAAGATGCTCTGTGAGGATGTAAGAGGCATTTGCATTTTCTGACCAGACAGCTGGTGTACTCTAAAATCAGCGTTGTGCTGGTTTACACCAAGGTTTGGCCCATGTATCCAAAAGCATTCACGCAGATTTTGATCACCCCTGTGTCCCAGTTTGCATACCTATGGAATACTGACTAAATCCTGAAGCCCTTACAAGGAGAAAATTTCTACTGATGTTAGACTTTTATCTGATAAGGATTTAAAAAACTGACCGATGGCAATATACGATTCTACTAACCATAAGTGTGGGCATATGTAATATACATTCAAATATGGCACTTACGCAAACCATAGAGACACATCTCATCTATCCAGCATGATGTTTTGACATACACAAGGTATGTGAAAAATAGGACTGAATAAAATAATATATAAGAATTCATCAATCTTTCAAGTCTCTCAAACCACAGAAGTAGTACTACAACAGTTTCTACTGCTGAAAACTTGTAAGACAGACTGAAAATACGTTCGGGCTCCACATCTTTTGTCTTTGCATTTTATAACACGTATCATGAAAACAGAATTAGGAGAGCAGAAAGGCGATGACTTGTTCAAACAAATTCCTGCAATGCAATGGCATGTTGGGGCATATGCTATTTATCAGCATTGCTAATGAACTGAGAAGTAGGAAAGCTTTATCTGTGTGCTGCCTGGGCTAACCAAGGGCCATGCTGGAAGAGACAGGGTTGTCTCAGCCCTGAGAAATGCCAAAGCTGCCACCACTGCTAAGCTCTGAGACAACACGCTTCCAAGATTTCATTCTCCACTCTCAACTCATCCCAGTCTTCTAAATCCTACAGTTGCAATCATCCTGGGCGAAGAGAGGTGACCTACAACCAGTGACTTTGAAACTCCAGTCATCACTGAAGTGATGGAAGAAACTCTTTAAACTCTGGTGCTTGGGAGGCAGGGTTGCTGTGAGCTATCATCTCCTCCGCTACGGTCAGTGTATTCTTAACTAATCCCTGCGTTGCCCGGACGTGCTCTTACAATACCTCTAACCACTCAGATGTCTTGGTGGGCACCCTGTGTCTTCTCACTCTGATTGCAAAGTCCGAATAAGAAATTACATTCTTGCCTCAGCAAACAACAGGCTGCACACACATCAGCCAGCACACAAAGATGACACAGTCCCTGCGTTGCAGCTGATTTACCCAATCCCCAGCGAAACCTGTTGCCCTTTTGAGGTAAAACGTATTTCTCTACTATGGCACATGTTCAATATATACAGTTACACTACAACCAAAACAAAAGTGTTCTAAACACATAGGCTGAGATGTTTGACTACAACTTATTCATATTGATCCTTGCTTGGAGTGGGATGCTGTTGTTCTATGGAAAGTTTTACTATATTAATAATGACATTGTCTCAATATACAATCTATAATATATCTAAGTACATTGAATAGGTATGATTTCTCGTATAAACCTTCAATTAAATATACTTGTCTAACAATGTCACCTTGTATGCTTGTCAGAGATTGGTAAAAATATATATATGTATCCAGTCTCCCAGTGCACAGGGTTCAGTGATTAACTTTTAACCTCTTCTGCCAGGCTTTACTTTCAAATACCGGTTATTACGCTGTATTTAGAGGACTATTTTCTCATTCCAAGGGAGAACAGAGTCCTGGAAAAATTCTCAGTGTGCACCCGAAATGCAAGAGAAGTAACTCCAATGTGTCCCACATTACAACACCCAGATGAGGGTAACAAGCCAGGTTACTTGCGAAGTGTAAATGAGAAGTTAAGGAGGAAACCTCACAGATCCATACAGCCAAACAACAAAGCTGTCAAAGAGTTGGTTCCAGCTCACCTGTTATCTTTTTCACAATGCTACATGGTTTACGCTAAATTACAATCCTAAGCCACAATGTTATTTGGGAAATCAATTCCTACAGTTAGGAAATATTCCACTGATTACAGCATCTCCAGGTTCTCGTACTCCCTCTTTATCTTTCCACACTACATGAGCATTGCAGACAGCAAACAAAACAGCAGTCAATGTGCTAGCTGCAATATGGCTTCCTATGAGAGGAACAACATTTAATTGGCTTTGATATTTTTCTTTGTCCGGTATGTGTTTCTCTGTGTGTATGTGTGTGCGGGTGGGAGCGCGCACACGTTTTCTTCTCTTTTCTATGGTGCACTTCACTGACATATTAAACAGTTGCTCATTTCCATAGCATTTGTTTACCATAACTTACAAAGTCAAATCGGAGGATTATACTGTATTTACAAACAAGTTGGCACTTACAGAATAAATTATTGATTCCTCTTTATTTTTTATTTCATTTTATTTTCCTTTTTTCTCCTCTTCTTTTTCACCCAAGGGCATCCAGAATTCAGGCAGAATAGTAAAACCTGCTGCCTGCTGCCATTATGCTACATTAACACGAGTAAATAGGATTCCAGCTGGAACAAAACGGTTTGCTTGTTGCTGAGAGGCAGTGCCTTCCACCTCAGTCCATGGCCGATGCTCAGGAACTGTTAGTCAAGCGAAAGCAAAGGCTGCATGTTTTCTTCCTCATTCTTATCCATGCGTTTCAGCACCCCAGGATCCACGACCGACTGAGACCTGCAGAGGGATAAGATGTTTATTTGACATTTCTAGATCAAGATAAATGAGGGTAAACCTCAGCTTTTGTTTATTTTAATTTCTGCCAGGGCTTAAAAAAGTAATGGTACAGCATTACCCAAGCATCTGATCATTGCAAATGGTCAGAAGATATCCTCATGGAGTGATTACGTAGCTTTAAAGGGCTCGGTGCTGGATTGTGGATATAGGAGCAATAGGTGGAATAAAGTGGATCCTTTTTTTCTTCAGTGGAAGAGTGAAAGAGGGTGCATCTTCAGCACACAACAGAGGGCAAACCAACCTGTCTTTTGTACTGACTTAAGCACTGACCCACCCTACCAGAAGGTTATATGGCACTGGGCTGGTAAAGAAGGTACGATTCAGCCACCCAGCTGGCTAATGGCACACCGCAATTAGTGGCATGTGTTAGCTGGAAGCACAAGTCGCTCCTTTTCTGAATAGCACTTAAATGCAACAGTGCAAGATCCTAAGCCAACCCTAGGGAATTCTGCCATGGTCAGCAGGATTTCTGGAGCAGTGGACACATCTGTCAAATGCGCTTATCAGCTCAGCTAAACAGAGTGGAGAGGGATGGTAAAGGCCAATTCAATGATGATTGTAAAGTTTCTCCAGGTTCTCTGATTCAGCACAGAAGTGTAACGCTGGCACTGGTGTCCTGCAACAGCCATGCGTGAGGGAAAAAGAGGAAACCTCAACCTCCAGCAAAATCAAAATGCTCCATTAAAATCAAAATCTGAAGTGTTAAGATGGGGTCTTACATCACCTATGTCTCAGCTTGTTAAAAAGCAGATGCTTCTGGGGTAGAGTAAAAGCAACCCTTGTTAGATGGTTCCTTTAGTGAGGCAAACCTCATGCTAGAAATGCCTATTTCTCTTCCTTTCTGTAAAGGAGATTTGAGATGGCTAGAGTATGTGGACATCTCGGCAATGTAGGTATCTATTTTTGATCAGTGGAAGCACAACGTGACTGCAGCATTGCTACAGATTTGCCCATTTGAAGGGTTACAGCACAGAGAAAAACCTTTATGAATTCTGACCTCTCCTAAGATAAATATACAGAGTCAATCCCCAACTCTTATAAACTGGCATCATCCACTGAAACCAATGAATGAGGCTGATAGCAAGATACAATTTGGTCTTTCTCAAAAAATCTAAAGGAAACCTTCAAAAACACAAGAAAAACCACCTGAATTAAAGCCTAGGTGAAAACTTTAAACACAAGGATATTTTATCATAATACTTACCACATTCTCTTACTAATACTAAAATCAAAAAAACTATCTTTAAAAATCTGATAGTCCCTCTTGTGATAAACATAATTAAAAATCTTTAATTAAAACTGCACAATAACCCCCATCTAGAACGCTGGTCAGTTCCTCAGGCAGAAAACTAAACCACTGAATTAAAAATGCTTTTTTTAAATCTTCACAGGGTACCGTGCCAATGCAAAGCTGATGACAGAAAATTTGCTGGTGGGAAGCTGTACTGGAAAATCCAGTTCATCAAGATAAAAAATGCTGTAGAAGCATCCCAATTTCAAAGGATTCCCAACTGAATGTAAGTACTAATAGGAGACTGTGCCTCTTCCTTGGCTGCCAATGCCTGAGCAGCCAAGGTTTCCAGTTCTCATCTGGGGATCTGAAGGGGAGACAGAAAAGCTGCAAACTTGGCCTCAAATTCCCAATGAGGCAATTTTGGCCATAAATTCCCAGGGTCTCCAAAGTCCCAGATACCAAGGCAGATGTGAAAATGGAACCGCACAAATCCTGATCTATGGCTTGTAAGCTCAGGAGCCTAAATGGCTTGAAGAAGAAGGAGAAATAGTTTTCATCCAGTTTTAAATCAACATTTACTGTCATGTTTCAATCCATTCAGCAGCAACTCATGAATGAAGGTATGTAAAAGGAAAAACTTTTGTGTAAGTCTATAGCACCTTCTATCTACATCTCCCAAATAACTTTACAGACACTACTGAAGAAATTCTCACAAAACACAGTAGGACAGAGTTGTACTACTAAGTCCCACGGCCGAGGTGAGGAATCAAAGCCACACACATACTCTGCAACCTTGATCAGCACAGACATCTGCCCTGCAGCATCAGGTGAGAAGAGGATGCAGGTCTGCACCTGGGTGCCTCAGCCATGAGAGCCACGGGTGGACAGAGCCACAAAGAAACGAATTCTCAGCAGGATTTTGGTTTAAGAAGGATATGCTTTCAGAGTAATAAATGAATTTTAAAATGGCAAGCCAAATTAAATAAGATAATTGTCGGAGATCTGCTAGACGCTTGTAAAATTTGTTTTTATATGTTACAAACCTTCTTCCGCAGTAACATGCCACACTGAGTGTGGTTTTAAACTGACAGAAATAATCCATCAGGTGCCGAATTCAAGTTAAATTTAATTTTTAATGAAAGAGAGTTTATCTGTTTTACCTTAACTTTTCTATTTCTGTTTTAACACCATCTGTGCAGTTAATACATCGAAGTCCTGGAATTTTCTGTCCATCTTGCTACCACTACCTTCTACTTGGTACTAGCACAGTAAGTCTACTTAATACTTTTTATATCCAACAGCAGGGAAGGAGGATTCCAGCAGGTGCTGCAGACACACTAACTGGAAAAGAATGCAAAGAAGGTGAGGAAATTTCAGCTTGATATTATGTAGATACAAATTTCAACATGCTTATTTTCTGCAGTATGTTTCCTACTGCGCCAGCTAACCCAGACTGAAAGAATGTCGATTTGAAGCTTACACTGAAGTGTTATTCTGCATGAAGGATTTTTCAAGCACAAGTTAAATGAGAATAAAAATTCTTCAAGAAAGAATGAAGAATCTGGTCAATCCACTGCTTTTCCATTTAATAATGTGCTTGCCCAGAATACCCTTGAAAAGTCTGCTCCACAGGGTTTTGTCACAGGCCTTCTCATGGATCTTTGTTGCATCCTTGGATGAAGCTATTTATTTACTCTCATTACTTCATTCTGCAACAGTAAGACTTCTGCATTTCAGCTCCTAAATTCCACCCTTCTCTCCAACACAGCTTCTCTATTGTCTCTTAATTCTTGTATTACCTGCAAATCATATATAAATGTATTGCTCACTTTTCCCATTCCCTTGTGTCTTTGCTGTCCCATTTTCTCCATTACTTGTGTAACTTGTGTCTTTGCCTTACAGCTTCAGGACCTTTTCTAATTTCTCCTTCTCCCAGTTCATTTCCATCCAGTCTCTTGCTATTTCCCACTATGAACGCACTGTAGGTTTCTTTCAACACAAAATCCTTAAACTTCACTGCTTTTTTTATTTTTTATTCCTATGGCAATCTCTTGTTGTCTCCTCTCTATTTCCCAAAAAATATCTCCCTTTCAAACTGCACTGTCCTTCCCAATCTATGCAACATTTTCCAGCCAAAATCATCTTCCTGGCTGACGAGTCTGAAAATATTTTACCCTGTTTGATCTGCTTCCAGAGTCTCTCTCCCTTTTGCATCAAATGCTATCTCCTGAAACTGAATTCTCAGTTTAGCATGTTCTGACTTAATTATAAGGATTTAATATATTGTTTTCTGTCCTCTCTGTTCTCTTCTGATTCATTGCTAGGTCTACCCCTTACCAGCTTCAATCTGACTTTTGTTGCCCTGCTCAACCTTTTCTATCACCGTGCTGTCATCTTTCCCCTTTCTCTTCTACTTCCCTGGCAAGGCTAGACCAGGTTTACCCCTCCCAAGTGAATCATCTCACTGCTTCCATAATTACTGGAGAGGTAACTAACCTCCTCCTCTACTTTACTTTATTTTGAATGGTAAAATGCAGCAAGCAATTATACTGTACCTTCTCAAAGAGAAGAATATCAGAACACTAGGATGTTTACCAGACTCGAGTATAATGATCAGCACTGATTTTTGTCCTGGCTTTCCTCATTACATTTTCTCATGTTCTGTGCAGTCTCTGTGACTGACGGTTCAGATGTTGTAAATGTCCTGGCACCTACAGACTGATGGATACCAGGCACTGGGCTATGAGACGGAGGAAGGTAAGAGTTATTGTCATCACCCAGCTGGATAATTGGCCTCAATTTATGCTCTGCACCGAGGCTCACTCCAGCTAGCGCTGCCTCGCTAATATGTACTGTAGGCTGGGGTGGGATATCAGCTTGTTCCAAACACAGTACTGTATACACCACCTATATGGCACTGTGGAAATAATCAGCTCCTCTGAGTTCACAACTCACATGGGTAATAATCAACACTATGGTCTATAATCAACAGTGATTTTAAGAAAGCAAAAACAAAGGGTCCTCATATACAATAAACTGAGGGAACTACCTGCAGCTTCACAAGAGAGGAACGCAAATGTTAAACGTTACGACAATACCAGAAGATCAGAGTACCTTTAACCCACCTTTTCATGGATTTCGGAGAGAGGTCCTTTTCTATATCCTTTGCAGGAGTGTTGTAGGAGTCCGCATTGCATTCACTGTCATCATCGTATTCATGGTCGAGCAGTGTTCTTGCCCACGTCCCCATGTCATAGGGGGGCAACATTCCCCCAAACTCTGAAGGCAGGATCTCAGGGTGTATTAGCTGATGCAGGCTGTTGAGGTTATTACCATGCAGGAATATCTGTATGCACATATGCAGGTAAAAAAAAAGGGGTATCACAAAAATTGTCAAAGCTCGAATCACATCATCATTATTCAAGGATATTATACAGTTTCAATACTCTGGCTGTGTTGGGCTAACAGGGATGGCCACCAAGGCACACGTCGCCTCTGCCTTAAGCATGGTCATACTATGTTCATAAACCTACAAAGTGATTAAAGCGTAAATAACTTAAAATGTTTGTAGGACAAGGGGCCCAAGGAAGGTAAGAACTGGTGTCTGGTGACTAGATGGATGGAAGATTGGATAGACAGACTGCCTATCTTTTGTTGTTTGCTCTCCCTAATCCTGTCAATTAAATTAAGTGAATAAACCAAGAACATAAATAATAAATAAAATTAATATTCACCATCTACATTAAAGAATGTATATATTGACTTTCAGCATCCAGGCATGAGTTCCATAAATAAGATAAATAGTGCAGTGTACTGAAAACTCCACTGGGAAGATTTTCTTCCTAAACACGGTGATACCAGTAACTACCATCCATACTTGACAACATGTGAAGTAAGTGATAACAGTAAAACAATTTCTGTTGACAGACTATTTGATATTTTCCATCGATGTTTTAGTAGACTGATTTTCTTACATGCTTTACATTTTTATATATATATGTATATTAATATGACATATATGTGTATGACTACTTGTATCTATGTTTATGTTTAACCTCATTGTTTCTCCTCAGAGATCTGGAATGTGTGACCGATGAGCACTAGAAACAGAGCACCTCTGCATGTGGACAGCCTTCTCTCACAGATACTAAGGACCTGCAGAATTTCCACTGGGATGAAATGCCTGGGTATGGCCACACAGACAGATCACAGCAGCTATTTCTAGACTAGCAAGTAAGATGGGCCAGGATTCACCCTCTGGGACGAGGAGCAACTGCCATGGTACAGTTCACATCCATACGGTTAACTCCTTTCATCTCCAGAACAAGCTCACCTTATCCATACTGCTCACTGGTCCGTGCCATCCCCAAATTGATCCTGGGCAATGTAAAAGAAAGCACCAGTTGGCACCAGCCACTGCCCTGCCATCAAGTGTCCCTACAATTAAACAGTAGGAATGGCAGTGCCCAACCCTTTTTAATGGACCAGCACAGAAGCAGCCAAGAAGGCAAGGTAGGGTGTTGACTCCTAACAGCTGCGCCCAGCCTCTCGCTCCCCATGGGGCGGGCAGGGGTGCGTGTACAGACGGACGTCAAGCACTGTCAATTCACATTTCACTTCACCTTGCAGGGACCTCTCTGGACAGCTACACCCCTAGCATGATTTATCAAGAGTTAAATTCAAAAGGCAGAAAGACAAAAATATATGCCTGTCTTATATTACTTATTTCAACCCATCTTCCAGACAGCTGTGGAGACAGGCAGCTTAATATGCCCATGCAAACCCAGTAATGTTCTTCCATCTCAGAAAGGAATTTATCCTTGTGTGAAAGAACAAAGATTAATGGCAAAAGTAATTTGTTTTATGGTGCCTTTCCAACTGAATGTTTCACTTCCTAGCAATTGTTTTTATACTTGTCTAGTACTACATTTATCTGAATATAGCTATCAGTTGCAAATGTACCAGACACATTAAAAAAATACAAAATAATTAAGGATAAACACAACAGGTAAATAATAAGCCTGATAAAATTCTGAAGATAAATCTGTTGGGTTTGGGGGTGTTTTACACAATCATTTGCTCTGCCTCTTATGTTTTTTTCTTAAAGTTGATTTTAAATTTTATGTGCTGGGCATAACTTTCACATTTTGACACTAAGTTTTCAATTCTATATCAATATTTAACCACCTAACTACTTCTTATAGGTATTCGGAGTTGACAAAAACAGTTGTAAAAAGTCAGCATCTCTGAAAATATACGCCACTGATTCGGTTGTCAAAATAAAAATTTAGATGCTAACCGATAAGCACCCATGTTGAGCTGCCTTGTCATTTATTTTTAATGTTGTAACATACCCATGAACTGTACTTCACTCCCTGGTTATGCATACACAGCACTTGACTTAAAAAGGCCTCAAACATATCTGGCACTATAATGTTCTTTGTTGAAGCTGTAGTCAACAGAGTGCAACTGAATCCTGCAAAATGGGTTTTCATTTGCATATTTATAACATATATTACATAAAAGGCTTTGTGATCTATAGTTCAAAATCTGTGAATACCAGAGGCCTCTCAAGCATAATCTGTCAGTAAAAAACAGCTAAACACCAAGGATCATTGTGGCCTTGTAGACTCTGTTTGAGGAGAGAAAATAGAGTTGCTTAGAGAGCTGATCCCATTAGAAAAAAAAAAAAAAAAAAAAGATCATCACATTCTTTGTAGTGGCTTTGTACGTGATGCTGATTGTGTTTTCCTGGATGACAAATGTCCTGTTACAGAAATAATATCATTCCATGTGCTATCACCACCAAGCTCTAATTTAATTGCACTGATACAAATGCTGCAAATTCAGCAACGTCTAAGAGACTGCTCGTGCTTATGCACAGATGCATGCACACAAATTTCCTTTCATTCAAATTGGTATTTGCAAACTACTATATACCAGCTGTGTATTTTAGTTCATGCTAATGTCAAGGGCACTACACTAGGAAAGGACTTCGTACTATCTCTGTTCTTAAAAGAAAGACGCAAATAATTTTAACAGAAATTGAACAGAATTGAATTGAATAGAATCTTAATAGAAACCGTAATGTTGGCAATAGCATATGATTACATTTTTAAACACATTTAAATGCACTGCTTGACTGTGTCCTTAAAAGATGACTGTATAAGTTTCTAAAACAGTTAAAGATACTTTTTACAACGCAGATGTATTTACTTTCTACCAAGAGCAAGCTGATATATTGTGTATATCTACTTTATCAGAGTATGATACATCCGCTGAATGCAGGTAACGGACAATTAAACAGAAGAATACCCTTTTTCGTGTCTTCTCCTTTAGAAAGGGCCGTATAACTGTGTAGAGGGCATGGATATACCACGGCTGATTGACGAAATGTATTCCTCCAAATCGAGCTGGAAAGCTGTCCTGTATGTGACAAAAGAAATACGTACAATGTGAGTTGACTCTTAACAGAAGTTGCGCACGCATATTTTTTTTTTCTGAATGTTTTCATTATAATAATAAACCTTAAACAAGAAGAAACTTTCTTCAAAGTTGTATCCTCTCAGTTGAGTTCCAACCTTCCACACCAAGCAGCAACACACCCTGGACACAGCAGTGAGGAAACGCGCTGAGACACCTATGGTATTCAGATAAAGGCATGGCACTTCTGACCTCCAGAAATGCTTTAAACATTTATGATTCACCCATAATCCACCTATGCAATACATTTTTCTCTCTTCCACTTCTATGGATTTTATTCACTTTTAATAGTAACCATTTCAACTCTTCCAGTGTCATTGAAAAGCACTAGAAATTGTCCCTCTTGTTTCCACCTTAAAAAGAAAGTGTAAATCTAAACTACTATTCAAAATGTCTCCAATATTATCCATATTTCATAAAACTGAGAATGCATTAAACATTATGAATAAACTGTTATGCAATACCCACGACAGTAATTCTTGTCACATAGTCAGGGGCCTTCCGGGAGCTTAAATGCAAGGATAGCTTATCTGTATTGAAGCAATGACTTCTCTTTTTTCTTGCTGAAAAACACAAGGGACAGACAACTCACTAGGAAAGATTCTGATCTGCATTTTCAATTTCTAAGTCAAGAGAATATGCCAGAGGGTTTGGCAGTCTGAAGAGGGCAGCCACTCTGTCCTGGAATACTATTGCCAAATTCATCGCATGGCCTCATTTTGTCTTTGCCTGGTTGATTAGATGCACAAACAATGCGATAAGCTGGGGTCATCTCCTAGGATGAGATGACCCTTTGCACTGAGAAGGAAGCAAGAGGTGTAAACAGGCTTGTAGATCGATGCATGTCCCCTTTGGTGTTCACCGGTGACGTCACAACCTTCTCGGTGTTTAGGTATACAGACTTACTAAATTAATGGCTTTCATTTGAACCCTTATTCAATAGGTGGTCCACTCTAGGCAGCCACAGCGGTCACTTGGACCAAAACTGGGTTCCTCACAGCAGCAGCAACTCCCATTTGACAATATAGGTACAAACAAGGGCATGCTTCCCAGCTACACCTCCTCCTCCTCCTCCTCCTCCTGTGTGGATGCAGTAAAGGCAGCTTCAGGACTGTGTTAGTGGGATCAGAGGCTCAAAAGGAGGCAATCAAATGGTCAGACGGGGCACTCCGTGCAAATAGACATATTTTGCCTCGTCTGGAGACAAGCCAGCAGGCCATATAGAAGCATCCAACAGCCTAGATATAACCCACAAAGCACCATTCAGAACTGTCAGATAGGGAAGGCAGGAACTGAAGGAAGGAAACCTTTCATGAAGTGTTTCCAGATAGGAATATATTTTGAAAAAGTGCATGCGCCAAGAAACCTCCTTAGTTCTGCGAATGTGTACAGCCCTGTGGGAATAACGAAGCCTGAAGGGCTGATTTGCTCCTCGCCAAAGTACCATTCAAATACCGGCAGGCACTCCTAACCCAGGGGGTCCTTACATCAGGGTTCCACCTACCTCCAAATTGCAACAACTCGGTGGATTACCAGATGAAATATTTTCCATCAAGGAGGCAATGCCTTAACAATAACCTACAGGGAGGATGACAGCTACAACACACACCACTAACATCTGGCTGGCCACAGCACAAGCCAATGCAATTAACAGTCTATTTTACAGATTTTCTCCAGAAACATTTGATTAACCACAGCCTTGAAATAAAACAATCCTGTTGAAAGACTGTGCTACAGAAACTTCATTTTGCTAAACGCCTAGTTCCTGTCAGCGCTGACTAAATGTCAAACAGGACGGTTGATAATTTGACATGTAACTCACCCTGTTCAATACCATAAATCCCCGAACACCATTTTGAGAACACCACCTCTGATGTACAAAAGGTAGTAAATTATGTCTCTATCACAGCAATCCAACGAATCCATTAGGAAGGATAAATCACTGGATGACACTTTAACCTTTAGTTGCAGGAGATACCATTCATCTACCGAAGGCTGTTTGTTTGGTTTATCACGGCTGCTGCTCCAGCAAGCTGCCGGGTGCAGCATGCTGTGTACCATGCCCAGAACAGCATGCACTAAAGCTGCAGAAGACATCTTTTGCTAGTTTCATCTAGATGTCTTTGAAGATATCTTCAGAGTTAACTCTGGAATGGTAACTGTGTTAAGCCTCGTGGGGGTCGAACACTTTTTATAATGTAGGCACTATGGAAAAAGGCAAAGCACACCAGCCATTCCTAGCTGCATGCCTTCTTGCATGATTTTATAAGTTTTTTAATTAACACAAACTTACATACACCGAGTTAGGAAACATTTGTTCTTTATTGCTCAAAAAATATCTCACACAGAAACTGCGGACAGTTTGTGAATGAGAAGATCTCAATAGGCAAACAGCCATGCACACACCCCCACGCACACGGATTCAGAGCAGAGAGCCACAGGTACTTCCACCATGGGCTCAGAACGGATGACTTGTCAATACTCGGTATCTTTACAAAGATACTAAATTTCTAGCAGATAAAAGGAGTATCTTTAGAAAGTGCCACTTTGACACGTCCACTATCTTTTCCTGCATCTTGGAAACCATTTACATGAAGGATCATGAATATATGTTGAATGATCCTCAAATAGAAGATGCCACTTGATATTAAAAGTCAATTTATCTCAGTGTTTTTCAGTAATTCTAAAGGCATTTTCCAGACCCGACTAAAGACGTTGGGTATTTTATCGATTTCTGTGACTGAACTGAGGTGCCCAAATTCAGGAGCACTTCCTAAGGTGTAATTAGGAATCCCCAACATTTGAGCCCAGAAAGAGAAAGGGTGATTTGGTCAGAATGATCCTGTGTTGTACACAGTGCTAGGACTAGAATTCAAAAGCTGCTGAATGCAGATCCAAAACCCAATCTCAACAGCACCTAGTGAAACAAGAAAAAAGCAACTACAGCTGCTGGAGAAACAAGTATCAGAAGGTTGTCTGGCTCTTCTCAGATGTAACTGACTTCCACATGGGGATTTGCCAGACAGATGGCCATCCTACAGAAACAGCAGGTAGGAATTTCTTCCAAATCACTGATTGTTGTGGGTTTTTTACATAGATGAAGTCACAAGCATGGTGGCAGTCACAAGTGCCTCTGTAGACATATTGCACTTCAACAGAAAAGCCTGTAATCCATGAATCACATGAATTCTAAGTAAAAGGAATCCCATGCCAGAAAACAGTAAGAAATGGAGATCAGCCATGAAGTGAGCTGTGCATATGACTGGAAAAAAGTAATAAATCTGATGGGTTATTACCAAACCACTAAAATGAACTAATTATGTAGACACAGTGTGTGGATTTTTTTAGCATTCACAATAATCTCTACTTATGCAGCAGAACACAACCTAAGCCTCTGATGAACACGGTTTGGGACACAGCCACACCACCGACACAGGCAAGCAGGTAGTTATTATTAGGGACCAGAGTCCTTGTGATACAAGGCTGACAAGTGACAACTACTAGTGGGCTGTCAAGGAAGAGGCAGACCCCTACACTACTGTTTGCAGGACTGGGTGACTACCAGAGCACGGCCGGTAACATCTATCAGCCAGCGTCGGAGAATGAACCCAAGCAAACTGCCTCACCGGGTTTCCATCCCTGATGACATGGCTCTGCTCACTCACAGCACAGCAGTTTTACCTCTCTAACAAACATAATTTAAATGATTTGTCTCCACAAGCTTTCTCTCCAAGGACACAGCTGCTGTTGCCTGCTACCACCCTTGGCACACGCTAAGAAGCCAGGTTTCTACTTGCTCAGCACCACATCCCACCCTGTTGTCCTGGGCTGGGCCATCACCTGAGCCAGTTCTCAGGGTTTCATAGAGGGTCCTGTCCTCCCCTGTGGCCAGCAGAAACCCTTACAGCACATGGAATAACAGCAAAACCAGTGTGCAACATTTTCAACCGTTCCTAAGAGAGGAAAGTGCCAAATTCCTACTGAAAATCAGTGTGAGTCTTCTTAGTGGTGTCAGAACTGTTATCACAGAGATAATAAAAATGACCCACCTTTTTTACCATTACCAAATGCAAAAACTTAAAGAACTTCTTAAAGTCCACAGCATTCTTCACTCCTTGGGTATTGTGTCTACATTTAAACCTCTGAAGTCTACTTTTAAAGAATTAGCCCCCCTGCCCCAGCTGAAATCAGTCCTGGAGTCAAATTTGTTTGCACAGCTCTTAGAAGCGCAGTCGGAGAAGCTGCTGGGACCGTGGTGTGTCCAAAAGTGCCTTGGCAACCCAGCCACATCAGGGCCTCACGAGCCTGCTGCACATCTCCTGCAAATATCCCATCTGCAAACACCTTGCCACCTACTAAGGCTGCGAGAGTGCTTGGGCAGATATGCTCTGGGGTCATGTTTGAGGGTTTGCTGTCCTTGCAGGCAGTGAAACTGTTTTTGCAGAGTCTAGAGGCATCCTTCAAAGGACTGTCTAGACAAATATAATGAACACACTCACACGCTTTACTTAAGGCTGCGCTTAACTGCTGTGATGATTTCAGGCCATAGCATCTGCAGGTGACAAGAGGCTACAGAGTCAAAACTGTGAAAACTGTATCTTCATAACAAAAATTACAAGTTCAAAGATAGCATATTAAATTTTTAATATCTTAAATATCACTTAAGAGTCATTCCTGAAAATAATAAATTCAGGTCTCATCCAGCTATTCCAAAAAGCCAAGCACTTCAGGGAGAAAAAAAAATAAATCATTATGATGAACCAAAATACTATCTTCATAATGGAAAGCTCCACTAGAAAGGCACTGAAACATTCTGTCTGATGCAAGATGCAGCACAACTAAACTTGATTTTAGCATGCTAAAGAGGAAACTATGGAAAACTACAGAAAGAAAACGCTCTGATTAGAAGGAATATTTCACTTCCTTAGTACTCCAAGACTTGAATTCCCAGAGGACCCAAGAGCCACTGCCATCCACAGCAGGAAAGGAAACCCAGGTCTTGCTCCCAAACTCTAGCTTTCACTGAGGGTATAAAAGAACATGGCATTCCTAATACCAAACCTCCTGCAGGTAGCCATTCACGGGAACGGTAATTGCAATGTCTCAAAACAAAGTAACTGGCATGTCAAGGCTGATCCCCCGTGCTCAAGGCATTGAGGTTTCAACAGTGGTGAAATTTTGCTTGATCCCTGGAATGGTTGCATTAGTGATTTCCCTCTGTAAGACTACGACATTTTTCTCTCCTAGCTTGAGCTTTTCATTTTTACTAAACAATGTTGCACCATTTCTAAGACAAACAAAAAGTGCCCAAATAAATTTTTGTTACTGTGTTCAGCCAAAAGAGCACTACCTAAAGGCAAATTAACATCATCCAGTGACATTCTGACAAAATAAAATTCAATTATCTAGAACTGGATGTTGTCATTTTGCTAGGAAGCTTCCAGTGAAGCAATTTGACTTTTGGCTGTCCTCCTTTTCATTTCTATTAGTCATTTTATCTTACAGCTCATATAGAAATATGTTAAATTGAATGAGACGAGAAGAGAGAGAGATGGTATCCATTCAGTGAGACTATTGCGCTTTTTATTGAAGTATCTGTTCTAATTTCAAATAATCTTCCATCTTTCATTACAATATGCTACTCATAAAAATTATATATTGGTTAAATTAATTAAGTGGATAGGGATTTAAAAGCCATCTGACCACATGTGTATGCATGTTTATATATAAATATAATAAAATTTTAAATCTACATAGATTTTGTGCTTTCACTATTTGGATAAAGGGCTCAGATCACTCTCATTTTTTAAATTAAGTGGGCTTGATAAAGAAAATATTTTGTATAAAACCTCTCATTTTCATTTGAAATCATTTTATTTTTGCAAATTAACTTCAAGAGGTTTGGACCTGATTTTTTTTTTAAAGTTTTAATTAGAAATTGTGTGAAATTCTTTTAGCAATATTTGCTTGTTTTGACAGGGGCTTGGGGTTTGGGGTATTTTATTTTCCTTGGCTCATTTGTTTAGTTTGAACCTAAAAAGATGAAGGCTTTAATTTTAAAGAGGAAATGAAAAATGCTGTTTTCCAAGGACAATTCTGTCTTCAACTCTTTCTTAATTCTACGTAACGCTTCATTTGGAATGTGACTTATTAAAAAAGAGGGGAAAAAAACCCATAACTTTTTCACAGCATGATGCTGTTTTCTAAATTGGAAAAGTCAGAAAAATAATAAGAAAGATGGCAGAAGTAACTTCTTCTATACTGTTTTATTTTCCTGTGATGAAAATCGTTCTTTACAATAGGCAATTATCAGATGGTGATTTCTTCTATGGAAATTCCCATATGGGGAAAAAAAATCCATTTTCCAGGCAGTTTGTGAATGTCGTCTTAGATTAAGATTACAGACAAATGGAAAAAACACTATACTGCAAACTGCTGTGTGTAAATATAGTAACAATACTTTCATAATGCTGGTGGAATAAAAATAATGTGAGAAATTACTGTTCATAAAAATACCATACTCAAATTCCTGAAGGCAGAAGTCTTTGGCCAGGGACTGTACAGGAGGAGATGAAATGCCCCACCAGCATCCCAGCTTGTGCCACTCACATCCTGCAGCCACCCTCCTTTGGTCAGGGGGGCTCTCCTGATGCCCAAACAGCCCTTGGTCTCTGCCGAGACCGCTGACCACAGGATGACTGTCATGATGCTTTTCATCATGTAGAAAGCCTCCCACAGCCCTGAGGCCATTTCAAAGAGGAGCATCAGTAATTATCAGATAGCCTCCCTGTCTTATGCCTAACCACTTCCAAATGTGAGTAGGCTAAACAGCACGATATCTAGAATTGCCTTAGGGGAGCTACACTTACTTGTTTGGTTTTATCCAACCAAAATGTAATCTCTTGTGCTATCTCACATTTCCTTCATAGCAGAAGGAAGGAAGGGAAACCTTAGGATAATGTTCAGACAAGGATTGAAAGAAACAATGACAAGGCAGAAACCATAGAAATAAGATAAAAGTGAGGAGCAGAGGAAAAGAGGAGAGATTAAATTAATTCAGAGAGGGATATAGAGAAATTACTATGATGCACAAGAGAAAAACATATTCATCATGTTCCTTTTCTAGTCCCTCCTCAAAATTTGCACAGAAAGTCACAGAAAGAGGAATGTAAAGTATTCCTACCTGGAAGATCCACATTTTACAGTCACATGTCAAGACTGATTTTGCAGATCTAAACTCAAATAGAGCAAGTAAATACCAAATCTTATGCCTTCCATACAATTTCTGAATATCGTCCCAACTGACAATTTCCCAGAAGAACCAGAGCCAACCTATGGATTTTTAATTCTGGGTTGGTTTCAGCCAAAGTCTGCAAGAAGCTACATCTGAACTGATTTGCCTTAGTGGTGTACCGGTTTGTCTGTCCAGGCAACAGGGCACAGAGGTCTGCAGATGGATGATCAGAGATACTGCACAGAGGCAAAAATGCAAGTTTCCTTGTTGTAGCAGCCTTCAAACCGCATTGCCTAGCTTTGCAGTGCCAATAAGTTACTGAGTTAAAAGATACCAATTCTCCAACCAGAATATTCACTTTTTCCCTGGAAGTGGAGGACTTCTAAACTGTTGCCTACAATTTTATTATCCAAAGCTTCTCCAAAAATGTAACTCTCAGTTTCAGATAGGATGCATTAAAATTGGATTACCATTATCAGTTTCTATTTACAGTAATACAATAGATTGAAAACTGTAGTGATTCAGGAGTTATTTCATGAGCCATATGTTTCTGCATAGTATGAGGAATCAATCTCCATCACTGCAGTAGGTACTAAGAGCAGTAATCATTTTAGTCATCCAATTTTAATCTGTCACTCCATGCAAATGAGAGTCCTGAGAATTGAACTGAACTGTAAAATTGGAGGGATAGTGATTTAAGAAAAATCAGCTGAGGACAGCCACTGAGATCTAGAATGCAGCATAATTAAGCTTTAAATTACTTGAGAAATTGAGTAACTGACATGAGATCCATTAATAAGTATTATATTTTATTAAAAGTAGAGGTATCATGAACTATGCAGCATACAAATTTTCAAGAGGTCAGTTCCCAGCAGTACAAAACTATTTCCAGTTCCAAAAAGTGTTCAAATGTCTTTGTCATAGTACAGAATGGAGATTTATTTCAGCCTTTCAGCTTCAAGAAAGCCTGTCTGAACTGCTCAGCTACACTTTATCTTTACAAAGGTGCTTGAAAAGATACGGTTTCCTATGAGGTAACTCCACCTCAGTCTCCCTCTTGTTCTCCCTCTGAACGACTGCTGGTGTTACATACACATAAAATGCTCCTGGGAGCCCAAGGCATTTCAATATTGTTTGAGGGAGAACTGTCACTCTGGTTATTATTCTGGAGGATCATAAATCACTGTTGTTGAATTCTAACTTCAGACATCAATCTCCTGTCTTTTTGAAGCCATATAAGTATGGCTGTCTCTGTGTTAGCTGCTACAGAGGAAACCCTGCTAGTAAAAAAAAAAAAAAAACAGAGATTCACAACAACTGGGCAAATAAATATTTATTTATTTTATCATACATATCTAGGACAAAGTTAATATCTTTACTGTGCTATTGGGATATGCCAGTAATAAAGAAATGTGACGGCAGAGTCTCCTAAAGTCACCGAACTCTTGAAAATTCACATCCAAGGAGTTGGAAGATCAAAATCAGAACTGCAGATTTCTTCTTGCTAAGATAAAAGTGGAACCCATGTGAATCTCTTCTCAGCAAGAGAAAATAACAGCAGCCTCAGTGCATGTTACATGGATACCCACAGAGAAACAGAGCTGAACTCTGAAACCATCCAGGGCACCGAGTCCAGTGCTGGGCTCCCCAGTACCAAGCAGACAGGGTCATACTGGAGTAAGTCCAGTAAAGAGTCATGAAGATGACTAAGGGATTGGAGCATCTCGCATATGAGCAGAGGCCAAGAGCGCTGGGAATGTCCAGCATGGAGGAGAGAAAACTTAGAGGGATACTGTTAAAGTATATAAATATCTGAAGGGACGGTATAAGAAGCCGGAGCCCAGTGGTACTCAGTGGCTGGAACTGAGGGAATGGGCACAAATCGAAACACATGAGGGTCCTTCTGAACCTAAGGAAACCATGTAAGAGTACACAGTTCTGAACAAGTCAGACACTGATGAAAAGTATACAATCACTGAGGTTACATGAGGTCTTTTTAGCTGATATTTTCCAGAAACACTTCACTTCCCAAAGCTGTGCTATTTTTGAAGTTCATCATCAGCCAAAGCAACCAATGCGATGACAGACTTCTCAAACTAAATAAAAAAGTGATTTGCAGGTAGATGTTAATATTTACCTGATGTAATGTACTCAAGTTGCTTGGCTTGCTTGAGATCACTCATCTTTTCATCACAAGCGACTGCCAAAAATGTGCATGGCTTACTCCACCTAAACGAAGGCTTACCTTACTTGAAAACCCTGAAGCTTCATGCATCACACTCTCCAAACCAGGATTTACAAAACATAGCCACTGCCAAGTTGTCTGCACAACACTGAACCGGCTCAGTTTCCAACGGCTGGGAACGAGCTGCTCCCCCAGTTCTGGCTCAACACCCACCCATGAGCCCAGCTTTTCGGAAATAGAATCACAGAATCATAGAATCATTATGGTTGGAAGAGACCTCAAAGATCATCAAGTCCAACCGTAAAATGTCACAGAGAGCAACACAGGCAGCAGGGAAACCTGCAACACTCAGATTAACTCCGTTCATTAACAAAACCTCTAGGAAAGAAGTTCAATTTCCATTTTGAGACTGACTGTTTACTGCTACGCTCTTAGCTCTATCAATCTAATAAAGGGCGGTTGCATCTGAAAGTAAGTCTTTTTCTAAAGATAGTGTTGTTTAACAAAAGATATTGCTGTTGCATATGTAACATTTTCAAATGTTTGTAAAATGTTTATTGCTCTACTGTTAAAACGTTATTCAAATCGTAGCATCTTAAGTCCAATGCAGTAAAATAAAACAGTGCAAGCTATTTTTCACAGGCAGCTTAAGAATGTGCACAAAATGATCCTACTTCCCTCTCCTTCCTTTCTACTTTTCTGACTTGGCCACCTTCTGATTTGCAGCCCTTTTCTACAGCACGGCTTAAATTTTCTGCTTTCTTATATTACTGTCACTCCACCGTTAGTGGTTGATGCTAACAGAAGAACTAAATCCCCAGCACAGGGACGATGACACATGGTATGCCTGAATGGACTTAATGGAAAGGAGAAGCACGCTGTTGGCTGTTGTTTGCTTCTCATCCATTAGTACCGTCCCCTGCATTGTGCCATGCCATCCGGCACATCCATGCTATTAGTCACACACCCGTGCAACCATCATCCACCTGTCATTCATGCCGCAGCTGCAAACATCCCTGCTGTGACCGCCATGGGTACCTCAAAAGGAGCCTGAAAATACAGAACTCCTCACTTCAGTGAGAATATCATTAAACATTAAACCTTAAACAAGCTGCTACTCCCCCTTAACTGAACAGTCAAGAGTCATTCCTCAGCAACTAAGAAAAGCGACGTATGACAAGCTGAAGCAAAATCAGAGCCAACATTAATGTAAGTTGACATGGCCTTTTCCAACCTGTCCATTCGCAAAGGGATGAAGCTGTTGAGGGTATCTGGAGAGCATGTCACAAAAGCTCTCGCACCTCTGCAAAATGTAGTTTAAGCAAGGAAAATCTTCTGTTAAGTACTAACAGGTGTGAGGTCACAGCAAGAGACAAATACCAACCCAAAGTGTACAACATTTGCTAGACATAAGGTAACTTCAACTGCCAATTAACAGAACTGCATCGAAATCTAAAAAGCACGTGTCAAATAGAGTGTGCCTGTGTATAAAAATCATTACGCCTCAAACATCAAATTAATCTCTTAAATAATTTATTACCATGGATAATTTGTCAGTTTCCAGTAGCTTGCTCACTTTAATTTAAAATAGATTTAAGAACTCATACTATCAGTGTAGGACAAAAAAAGGAAGGCACTTCCTATCTAGCAACCAGAATCAGTTCTTTGTGTGCTACCGGTAGATCAATTATGTATTAGAGATGCTGCTGTTTGACTTTTAATCCACATTCGTTCACAGACCTTGAGCAAATTTGATGTTACCATATTAAAAAGGGAAAGCACTAGAATAAGTTATATAGAAAAAAAAAGGAAAACAGATCAAGCAAGGGGCCAATTAATCAGCCAATGCCGGCAATGGAGAAACAGCCTGCCTACTGCCAGCACACAGGGAAATAAGAAATGCACAGATAATTCATTTACAAATTCCCTTAAATGTAATAAAGCCCACTTGGAATAACCATAAGATCATTTTTAATATGTTGCATTGTTACCCTTCTTTTTGCCAATTCAGGCAAAGAAATCTGCTGATGTGTATATATATATGTGCACATTGTAGTACTATAGATCTATAATACCTGTTCTCATCCTGAATGAACAGCATTTTAAGCCACATTCTAGATATCAGACACCAGCTGTACGTTTAGCCATTTAAAGATCCTGGCTGTGTATTTACTGAAATAGATAATTTAAAGCAGTACTCCAGTCAGCTTTGCTCATTTTGGAGCCCGGCTGATAAATCTTCACACATCGCTGAAGCATTAAAAAGTCTTCCATTTTCTGAACCCAAATTCCTGCATCATCATATCCACTACAGCCTTTCAGCACTAAAATTAAAAGCAGCATAAATATTTAAGTGTTTTGAGACAAGAATGCAGCAGCTAAATCTGCCAGTATACAAAAGGCAAAGGCAACCTTAGAATTTGAGTTCACTGAAATACAGGATGGAGGGGAGGACAGTAGCTGTTAAAAAAAAGGGGGGAATTTATCTCAAAATGCTTGCTAGCTATTAATATCGCCCTAGGAGCCGTAGTTTGAGTGCTCTGAGCTTCCATTTCCTTACCAAGGCAACGTTATTTGGTTGAAATATTTTTCCTGCGGTGCACAGTAGTCTCTCCTGGCGACAGGAACAGATACAGCCTAGAGGTAAATGGGGACGTGAGGTGTCTGAATGCTCCATACTGGCAGCCTTCCCAAACTGAAACATGCCAGGTTTGACCCATTTGATACTTGTCTACGGAAAGAAAAAAAAAATCTCTAGAAGGGCGACACTTTACATAAACATTTTCATTTAATCTTGATGGAAAATTTGCGACTCTTCTTAGAAAGGCTGTACTGTCTAAGGTTATAATGTTTCTGCTTACATTTTTAGAAGAACTACAGTGCCTTGGTTTTTGTGCATATGAACGCAGCACCTTGAAGTTATACTAACAGATTCCACTCTGTTATTTGCTGTGTTCATACAAAATGTAAGCTTATGCCAGGATCAGAAAATTAATTTCACGCAGATCTGATGTGGAGAGCTACGTGATGAAATAAATCACAGTCAAGCACTACCTGCGCATCCCAAGGTACCCTCAGTATTCAAACAGACTGCTTTGTTATTTTGAGCTGTTAACACTGCTGGAAACTTCATCGCCCAGTTCTGTGACTGTGACAGACCTCGCCCGCGAAGCCAGGCCATGCAGGTTAACCTCCAGGTGGAAGCCACAGTGCTGGACAATGGTCGTCGGCACTTCAGTAACCGGTTCTTCTCCTTTGGACTCAACTCGGCCCCAAAGCTCCAGCACATCTGAACAGGACTGGTGTGCTCGCTGGAGCTGCCAGCTTTCAGCAGAAAAAAAAAGCAACTGAGGTCTTGACCACTTCTGGTTGCATAAAGTCCCATGGTGCCATTGTAGAGGTAGAAGCATTAACCCCGATGTCTTGGTCAAAGAACAACTCCAGTAATCTCATTTTGCCTATCTAAATTCTCTGTATACTTTCCGCTGACTCCAGCATTTTTACTGCAGCATTCAGCTGGTTCATTGAAAAAGCACTGAAACACACCAGACATGACAATTTATTCGAGGCAAGATGTGTTTGTGTTATCACTACAAACATTTAACACTGAGAAGATTCATAAAACTTAATAGTAGTGGGTCTGCTGAGCTCAACTCTGTGACGTTCCAGTCCTGCTCCCCCAGCCTGCAACAGTGAGTGCAAAGATCTCCAAAGCAATGTTCTTCACATACAGCTCACTTGCTTGAACTCACTGTGGACTTCCACTAGTTTGACTGCATCAGGTCAATCCACAATCTCTGACTACAGAGACAAGCCTTGCTCTACTAAAATGTACCATAAGAAATACCAAGATACACAAAATAACATTTTACAAAACCCAAGCAGCATCTATATTGCGCTCTTAACAGCACCCAGAAGCATTCATGGAGGAGAAACTCAAATTACCTATATTGTGAAACCGCTAGAGCAAGTCAAAGCCACCTAGCACTCTCCCAAACAATTTGGAAGGGGAGCAGAAATCAGGCACCATTCCCAAAATGCTCTTTGGATGTAGCCATCTGTTTAGGTTAACAAAAACATTGATAGCCAGGATATAGCCACTCCAGCAGCAGGGAGCAGCCCTGGGCATGTCTGGCATTATTAGCACAGACATGGTCACACTCCCTTACAGATATGCTCCACTGGCGGCTGCCCGTTATAAAACAGCAAGAAACCCATGAAAATATGAAGTAATTTTAAATTATTATGCCTCATACAAAGCAAACATACTCACTTTCAAATGTAAGCTATAGACCTTTTAAATTCTATTGATTACACAGATTAAACCTTTTAAATACGACTAACTAAACAGAGTGGCTACTCAAGCACTATGAGGTCTATTGAGTAAATACGTATTGAGGAGTCCTGGGAGTTGTTTCCATCCACTGTAGTGACCTCCACAGAACAGGAGGGGTTTATGAAAATTAATATCACACAAATGTCTCTGTTCATATCGTCTGTTGTTGAAACTTCTGTTGTCCACATTCTGTATAGTCTGAAATGGAGACTAGAAATGGATGCAAGATATAAACAATTCTCCAGGTAAAATATTTATAATTATTACCTTCTTATCCATCAGGTCTTCAGCATCCTAGTTCCTTTCCTACAGCACTGAGCAATGTACTGTCATTTATACTCAAAGTAAGAGTTAAACAAGCAAGTAAGTTCTGTCCGTATACCCATTAACTCAGCAAGTAACTCAAACGAGTCAACCTTAAAAGACTGGGATCAATAACAAAATTAGTTCTTGGGGAAAGTGAGGGAGCAGAAAGAGCCCAGCTCTGAACATCACCCACAAGTGATGGACACCAGTGCTTACTGACCAGCAGATCTGGTGAGAGCACGCAGGGGCTTTGGAGAACCTCAGCTACAGCAACACAACTAACTGCTCCTGAGGAGCTGGACTCTGCATCAGATGAGAATCAGGCCCAGTCTGATGACACAATTAATAAATCCAAAGTAAAAAATAATCCACATGTAGGTTGTAAACGTGGACACCAATAGTTATTTCTGACAGTCTTAAAGAGTAACTCATCTGGGCTGTGAGATTCTCCTTTTTCAAAACAACGTACCTGTCTGGAAACAGTTCTCCACTATTGAGTAGCTACTGAATGCTTTTTCTGTATAAGAGGCTTCATAAGCATAATAATAAAAACAATTTATCCCCTATCATCAGCAGGGTGAACAGCACGGCCTCAGTGGGAACAGGAGCTAGGCTAACAGAAAAACTGAATTCGTAGTAAATAAATAATGTGATCAAGACCTTTCCATGGCTTTGTATTTCACAGGAAAAAAAAAAAAAAAACATTTACAAGTATTTTATATTTTGGAATAAAGCTCTCCCTCGCTGTGTTTTTTGACACAACAGTAAATACAGATGTAGATGTGTTCACAACAAATCAAATTATCTTTTCTAAAGTCCTATTGTTAAACAAGTGGTGACAGATTAATATAACCCAGCATCAATGCAAAAAGCTTGCAATGTGCATTCCACTAGAGCACAAAGTTTATAAAATAAAAGCATTGTGGCATGATTAGCAGACTGTGTATAGTTTTATATAGTCCACATAAAATATGATTCTTCCCTGATCTGTATCTACCATACTGAGGTGCATTTTTTAGTATTACACAGAATAGTAAAAATTACAGATGCTATTTACTATCAAAGCACATGCATAAGTAAATGCATCATCTACCATTGCTGCAGATGAAAAGTATTCCCAGCAAAGATCATACTGCATTGCCCTGGACACGGCTCTCAGTCAGGTAGAGAAGATATTTTCTCTTCAGATGTCAGATCTGAAATAATGCTTGAAGCAAGAATCAAACCAGAAGCCAAAATTTTGAAATTCAAGCAAACAACTCTCTGTCCAACCTGGCAGGCCTAGCTTTGTTTAAATCCACATCAAATTGACACCAGCTCTGGTGATACCCATGGACAGGCAACCGCCGCCAGCGCTCCGAAGCTGCAGAGCTTCAGGGGCACAGGAGGCTGCACCAGAGCTGGCAGGAGCCTGCGGATGGGCATGGGGGAAGAGAAAGCGTAAAGACCCAGAAAAACGCCAGCATTACAGATGGGGAAGTTCGGACCTCTTGCACTGCAGCATCTTGTCTAGCTCAAGAGGATGGAAAACGGTGGCAGAGGTTTGGATCTGTTGTGGTGAAAGACACCTGCGTGCTCACTGCAGGCAACCTTTGAGCTTTTTCTGCAAGGATGGAGAGCAGCGTGCATTGTCTTAAATGTGTTAACTCGAAATGTGATTGTTAGAACTAATTAAAGATGTTTAAAAGCTGGGTTTGACTCACTGTTATGTAATACTACGGGAAACGAGACCTATTTTAGGACTCTGAAAATGAGAGCAAAACAAATGGCACACAGAAACACGAGTCTCTAGCCCCGAGTCCCGCTCCACAGCCTGGACCTCGCCTGCCCCCGACCCGCTCACCTCTTACCTGGGAAACAAGCCAGAGGTTTGCCTTTTCGGCACCAACTCCTCTAATTGTATTCCTGATGACATTTTCTTGCCGTGACGGCTCCTACTTTCACCCCTCCTTCTCCTATTCTTTTGCATCTAAACAGACTACAGTACCTTTCACTGTAAAATAACTCAGTGTTCATCCCATTTTACTCTTAACGCTCAAGAAACAGGATGCCCACATCTGCTGCAATACCCATTTTCTCTGCCTCCTCCCCAGTGTCCCTGTTCCATGCAAACTGTCATCCCCAGGTTTCAATGCTGTAGGTCACCTTTCACCATCCCAAAGACTTCAGCCCTTAGTCCCTGCTCTCTTCTCACTGCATCTCATCCGTGGAGAGCTCCCTTTACCTACATCCATTTCACCATCATCCCTGTGCCGAAACGCACATCCCTCCACTCGTTCTGCCTCCCACAGCCAAGCCTCACTCGTCATACTACTTGGTTGAGCTCACTAACAGCACTAAACTCAAATTCTCTCAGTTTTTATTTTCTAGAGAGTTGCAGCAATCCCCACAAAGCACTCAGCTAGTAAACTCACATCCTTCGGATTATCTGTAAAGTCCTGTTCTCTAATGGTATGGCTTCCACCGCAAGACCAACACCTACCATGTCTTCCCACACGCGGTCTGCTGGGGAGCCTGACCCCTTTATCTTTACTAGTCTACTGTCACGCTTTTTGTTGCCTAAACATTATTCAGCTTAAGGGTTGGGCTTTTTTGATCAATTTGAGTTTGGTGAGTCCAGGGCTGTGAATTTCACTCCATGTTGAAAGGATCAAGCCCAAGAGAGGAAGGACAGGAACACATCTGCCACCAGTAAAAGCAGAGAAGGAAACCAGGCTGACACTATTTGGGTGACCAGAATTGTGGTCTGTGTGAATCCTGGCTGAGTCTGACTGAATCCCCTTTTTAGATTTTATTGTGCGTTCAAAAGAAAATCAAGCTTCTGAACAAGGAGGGGTGGGCAAGAAGCAACACCTCGCCCAATGTGACGCACTAATAGCAAAACCAATCATTTCGAAACCGTCTGCTTTGCAGCAAAACATGTCTCCTGCAATACAATGTGTGAATCAAAGCAGATTATACCCACGGTTCACTGCAGAACAGGGAACAAAACAAGTTATCCTAAACCAACCTCCCCACCAGCCCACGACTGATGCAAGCTCAGGAATGCAAAGCCGAATGGCATGCCAGGGCTCCGCTCGCTCCATCCGCTTCCTTACCTCAGGAAGAGGGACAGATGGTGCCAATGACTCAGAAGAACGCCAAAAGGCTTCCATCTCACAGCAATAACCTATGTCCCAGCCCTGTGACAGTCTGTCATCCATGCAAATGGTATTTTTCAAGGACATCAGTGTGACTTGGTGCCGGTAGAAAAACAGGACAGAGAGCTCTCAGGGTCAACTTCTCTTTTTGCAACCTAGGCAAAGATAATTCTATTCTGTAGTTTCATCAGTGTGCACCTACGTGTGAGAAGGCAGGGCCTTGGGAAATAATGTTTGGCAACATAAATTACAGCTTACTGTACTACTTTTGACTCAGTTAAAATTATCAGAAACCTTTCCAGGAAGGAAAAGCCTCAGGGAAAGCATAAGAGCTTTGTAAGCAAGATTTCATGACTTTAAAGGAAATCAATCTCAACTTTAAAATATGTAAAAAAAACAACAACAAATCCTCCATATTCTGCTTTTCTATTTTCTGTTTTTTTCAATTAATGTATTTGCAAAATAAAACAAAGCAGTTGTAGCCCTGTTCCCTACTGCCTCTTTAAAATCTTTTCCATTTCCAAAGTATAAAATTATGGCTTTGCCATTTCTAGTGTAGGAAAACAAATATGAAATTGCACTTGTACTTCTGCTCCCAAAAAG